GACACGCAGGCCGTCTGATGAAAATCTGCTACAAATCGATGGCTGAAATACGCAGTGGTCAGGAGGAAGTCCCAAACTACCCAGCCCACTTCACTTGAAAGACACCCCTCAGTGACTGGTGGGCTGAGAATAGCCCTAGGATCTTTTCAGAAAACTGCCGTATTCCCCCGTATAAAACACCCGCCGGAATTAAGCTCCCTCGGGTAGCTTGAGCGGGTATGGGTGTAAATGTTTTCTGGATACACACAACACCCTACTCTCGGACGTGAAAAGTTTTGAACACCCCCCTGCCACCTAGAATTCCCATTTTTAGCAGGAAACTCCAGAATTTTGCGGTGCGTAGATGCGTGCTACTGTTCATTTTTTCCACTCCTGCTGGGCCAATCGTATGCACGTCAAAGCGAGTGGGGAAAACGAGCTAGTGGAGGCGAATCTGCCCGAACGAAAACAAAAACACCGAGAACATTGAAATCCGAAAGTTTGATACTGTACTCGACTTTCGCACCAGGGCCTCAGATTCGTTTTGGGGCACGCTGATCACTCAAAGTTCCCCCCTCGTAGCTCCCTGTTTTTTCAGGCCTCGAAGAAGAAGAAGAAGAAGAAGAAAAAAAAAAAGCGCTGATCAATCAGGGTGTTGTATAAAATTTGCGCTGAATAAACATGGTCAACTACAGAAAATACGCTGTTTAAAACCCGATGGCAAAATAGCAGAGGGGGGTCCCTCTTGATTGTTGACTGGGTGCGAAATAACGAAGTCCCGAAACCTGGCAGAAAAACGAAAAAAAAACGAAACGAAAAAACGAAAGTGTTTGAGCCAATGTGGGCTCGAGGCGAAAAACTATTGACAGCCTCGCGCGTCGTGCAGCCCTCTTGCGACGTTTGTCGCAGGCCACGTCGGCCTCGGCTTTTTCTGCAGGGGGGTTCAAGAGGGACCCCCCTCCGCTATTCCTGTTTTCCCTGGGCGAAAATCAAGTGGGGCCCCACTTGATGACCAAGTGGGGCCCGTTTTTACGCGGCAAAATCGTGTGCCACGTCGAGCAGCCCACAACACGCTGTTCGATATTCGGAGTTTAGCTGTTCGCGCTGGGCAGCGCTGTTCGCGCCACTGCCCAGCTCCGAACACAGCGCTGGGGAGCGCTGTATCGAACACGCGCTGTTCGAAGCACTTCGCCGAAATTTTAGAGCAGCGGGGGGGTTTCCGATGATTGTCTCTAACTTTCAGGACTTAGCCAATTTTTTTGAGAAGCGGGGGTTTTCGGAGTGTTGTTGCTAACTTTGAGGACTTAGCCGAAATCAGCCCCTGCTGTGTCAAGTTGGCGTGATTGACAGGAAGGGTGGGAGGGAAATTCGGAAATAACGGGTGGGGGGGTTGGGGCTCGGAATCCGCTATTACACGTAGTGTCAGGGTCGGTCCCCAATACGACGCTGGGAAATCAGGCCTCACTACACTAGTCACGCTGATCGGTCAGAGTTCACTTCTAAAAAAACGCTGAAATTTCAGGCCCGTGTTACAAAAAACCCTGTCTCATCAGGGTCACCCCGAAAAAAAACCCTGAGTTTACCCTGAATCAGGGTAAAAAGCCTGCAATCTGAGGCCCTGTTTCGCACATCCCGCCAAATCAAACTTGTGCTGTTTGGTTGTTCTGACAGCATCCTCCCTGACACTGCACACTCGGTGCCAATGTGGCATGCAGATGTGCAATATCGTCCGGTATGCAACGAGATGACCAAAAGTGGGTATCTGATTCAAATGAAGGAAGTGAAACATGCACACTTGAATTCCAAAAAAAAAAAAAAATGCATATGCACATTCCATCACTCCTAGGTGTTTTTTTTATTTGCCTTTAATTACACCCAGCCCAAAATTTCGCTGCATCTTTTGTTAACACCATAGGGTGTTTTATACGCGAGAATACGGTAAGTCCTTGTAACATAGTGCTTGATAGCATTGCGGAAGTCTGAGTGAACCCTTGTACTGGTATGTGAGAACAAGTGATTGATTATAGCAAAGGGATGTCGTATTCCCCCGTATATAACACCCTATGGTAACGAGTGGATATTAACAGTATGCTGGAGAAATATAACACCCTTGTCTTATATAAAATGCAAAATAAATTTGGGGCATAACATGCAGAAATACATGCACGGTATAGGATGACCTCTTAAGCAAGGTTTGAATGACGATCCCCAACCTCCACTCGGGCCAGTCTGATGATAACATCATGACGTGCTGCATTTGCAGCCAATCCAAGGAAGCCGCACCTGCCAGCACGAGACGAAAGCTACCTCCTGCAGCTGACAAGGCTTTATCGATGGCCAGGAATCCCGTGTTTGTACAACGTGACAGCAGTAGGTTGAAGTGCGCGACCAGATTCTTTTACATAATCTTCTTGATGGGTCCAGCATGCATGGTCCCATCACTTCATGCAGAGTCGTATGCGCTTCGGCTTGGGGCGTCGCCCATGGTTCTTCTCCAACCTTCTCTTGCCGCATCGTCATTCTTGCTCCTCGCCCGTCTCAGCCTCGATCAAATTCATCGCAATGCTCGGGCTCTCTAACCGAGGCTCGGGCATTGCCCAATCTCACCTAACTCCCTCGTCGAAAATTTGCCCCCTGGCCGCTCGAGCTGATAGTGGTGTGTCACTTTTGCGAGCTCATCGCCCACCCTTTGGGAATTAGACGTTGCTCCGTCCTGTCCCACAAATTCCTTCAGCTCCTAGATATCCGACTGCATCTCGTGCTCCTCCCGCTCCTCCGGCACCACCCACGCCATTAGCGCCCCCTGCACCTCCTGCTCCTCCTGCGCCCCCGGCTCCCCTTACTCCACCACCTCTCTCGTCGCCACACGTCCCCCGGAGTGGGACAACGGTTGGCAGGATAACGAGGACTTGTTTTGGGAGGAGGCTGAGGCTGACAACCACGATCGGTGCTCCTAACTGTCGTGACTTCATGTTGGCTTCGTATTTACGATTCACTCCTAGTTTCGCGAATTCCAATCTCCGAGATTCCTTTTCACTTTCCGCCAATGTCGACAAGAATTCTTAGTCAGATCCAACACGCCCTCGCACCAGGCATAAGTAACCCTAAAAAGACTGCGTAGCCCATGAAACCAAACAGGGAAACATGAGGTTCTGTTGAACCCTAACAAAAAAATCCCCAATCCACGCATAGCAACCCAGACATCGGAAACCTGCGACAGGCCCCCTTGCAGTATAGCTCCGCCTATCCAGTCCTCTATCGTACCAAGCATTTTCCCCTCTAGTACTCCAACCCTGTGGCTTTCACCTCTGGCCACTCCGTTCCGTACAACAAATTCCCCCAGGCATCCTCGTGAAGCCCCTCCAAGACCTGTAGGACGCTAACCTTGCGCTGCCCAATCTCTGAGTTGCTAAGCCCATCCTTGGATGATGGACGGTCCCTTTTCTCTCCCAGTTTTTTGTCGAGGACCAGGCCATCCGACAGAAAGCTGATTGAAGTTTGCGCCCGCAGGTTGTCCAGCAGAGCGACCGCCGCTCTGGTTGCATCCTCTGTGGCGTAGGTGGGGAAAAAACTCTCTTTCTGAGGCCACGTCGCGCAAAAATCTGCCGCCCATGAGGAAGCTTACCTTATCCCAATAAACCCATGCATCTGCCACAGTTTTGCTCTCACGCCACGGCAGAACGACCGCATCAAAGAAGGCCTGCTCTAGCGAGGGGCATTCTCCAGTTGCTGTCGTCGACGGGGCGACCCCTCCGGCCGCTGCAGCAGGCGGTTTAGAGGATTTGAGCAGTGCATCCAACTCATTTCGAACACTACGGAGCTCGTCCGCCAACTTCTTCTCTCGCTTGTTCTGACGATCGATTTCCTGCTAAAGCTTCCCAATCTTGAAATGCCACTTCCCAAGCTGCGTCCTCAGAAACCCGTTCTCCGTGTGGAGCTTGGCGATCTTGTGGGTTGTTTTCAAGTGGTATATACTGTATCATCCTGCAGCAAACGTAAAGGCCAGTCAGACGACAAACACCAACAAAATAGCGTAAACATCACGTGCCACTTACAGCCTGTGGAGAGCTTTCCGGATTTTGCCGAACCCACTTGCCATCTTGATCAATGGTCGCAACCATGATCACCCATTCCTCAAACAAGGGCTTCACCCATTCCTCAAACAAGGGCCACAATGTCGCGGCCCACGTCGCGGAGGCTCTCTAAAAACCTTTTTCCACAACCATGATCACCCATTCCTCAAACAAGGGCCACAATGTCGCGGCCCACGTCGCGGAGGCTCTCTAAAAACCTTTTTCCCCGCGTGGTGCTTGTTTTGGTTCGTCTTCCCCTTGTTCCATCTGTACACCTGGTTGGGATTCATAAATAAACATCCAAACGGCGTAGTGAGCGCAACATTACCTTGGACAATCGGATGAGTTGAAGAGCAGTACTGCACCTTCTGTAGCTCACGACCAAGCCAGGGGAAGATGTGCTTCTTGAAGAGGGCCCTCAGCTTCTTCCAGTCCTTGAGATTCTTGAGCATGGCGTGGGCTCTTCCAATGTAATAGTCGCCAACAGACCCGCTGAATCCCGCCATCATCATCACAGGTCTAAACGGTATGCCAACGATAGACGCCGCGTGCATCTCGCCCTGTTGCCAGCCACCGAGATCGCCAATGTCGGCATCGGGACATTGGTCGTCACTCAGACCTTGAGCTCTTGATTTACGGAACGCGTGCGTGACCTTGCTGAGCAACCACTTCGCGATGCCAAAAGCCCAACGCATCCAGTCATTGGGCCTCTTGTATGTCATCTCGTTTCGCTCTTGTGGTCCCTTGTCTCCTGGCGTATTCAAGCAAAAAAACATGTGCTTTTGGGTCCAGGAGAGGGGTGTGGAGAAGTCCAGCGGTGGTGCAATGTCCGGTCCATAGCGCATCTTCACAAGGTCGTACAGCCAATGAATCCACAGGAAATTACTCCATAGAGCACATAGAGCTGCCAGTCAATGTGCCTCGTCAGAAACTGGTGGCTAAGCCTGTTGGTGGTGTTCGTCTTCATTTGGCGAGAGGTGATAACGAAGATTGGAAGGTCGCCCCTGCCTTCGACGTCATTGCAACTATGACAGAGGCGGACATACATGTTGGCGAAGCGTATTTTCCGAATGATGCAACCTCTACCCAGGACTTGGTGTGCCAACTAGATCATGACCTTCGCACCTAGTGCTCGCCAGAGATATGGTGACGGATACTCCTTACTATTCTTGTAGTGTTCCAAGATATGGAGCAGTAAATGATGCTGATGGAGTTTTGCGTAGTGCTCCGCAGTGTAGCAATTGTCGATTGATCATCAGTGTTGGTCTTGGCCCTCTCTGTAGACGCGGCAATGCGAAGGTAAGTACGCAAATCGCATGAACAGGATACAACAAAACACTGCGCGACAACTCACTTGATCCCCTCCTCAACCTCTGCCCTGGGGTAGTTGAACAGTCGAGCCTCACATCTGCCCAGGCAGCCCAACGCATTCATCTTCTCCTTCATCATGCTGGCCGTGCACTTTTTCGGATGCCTCCCAGCGATGACGGGCTGGCATCTGCGCATCTTTACAGCCTACTGCGATGTTTCATTGAACAGGTACGTGAAGTACTTACGAACCCTCCATTTCGTCATGCGCGGCCCATACTGGTGAATATTCTCATAGTTCACTTTGTCCCAGTCGCTTTTTAGGTCCATGTCGGGCCCCAAGCGAGCGCCGAACTCATCCTGCACGTCAAGGTTCACCCGCTCACCGTCGTCTTCTCCCTCACCATAGACCTCGTCGTCCTCTCCATATTCCTCGTCTACCTCATCTGACGCATCCTCGAATCTCTTGTCGCCGTCCCTAACAAACTCAAAATCCATTTCTTTGACATTCGCTGCGTACTACTGTGCATCCCAGAAACGCTCCTCCACGAGCTCTTCTGGCGTTACTGGTGGAAAATCGGTGTCATCATCGCCGCTCGATGATCCACCCCGGTCCATGGCACTTGATCGGATCTAGGACCTAAACCCAGAGCCCTAAACTATAGGCAACAGTACAAGAGCACTAATCTGCACAGACGGGCAACTGCACAAGGGGACGGCTGGGGTGAATTGGCGACGTCGTTCGGCCCAGAGCTATACGTAGAGTAATGCCCATGATCTGCAGGGGGTCGAGAATTTCAAGGAAGGTGGAGGATCACCGGTGGGCTGTTGCGGTGGGCAGAGTAACAAAATGGCGCCGCGGAGCCGAGGCCCGGAACGGGAATGGACAGACGCGCACGAGCGACGCCCACACTGCGGCGGTTGACGCCAGGAACCAAAACCGAAAAAGATGGGTGCGGTAGAGTCAATATGTTCTCTACAAAGAAGGGCTCATGTAGAGGACCTGTCTGATCGACGCAGACGGTTGTCTGCAGAGAACTAAAACTACCGCTTCTCACCACCAACGATGGGAACACAACGCAACACACCTACTACGTAGCTCCGCCAGCACACGACCCAGAACGAGTAGGAGACGGGAGTGGCAAGGCTATGATGAGAGCGACTTGCTGTGGATGCAGCTAGAAACCAGAAAATGAGATCCCAAACAAGTCTTCATGCCATCCGCAGCCCTCGCCCGCGACCTCCAGCTCCACAGACACCCTGCATTTCCTGCCACCGCACTTTCAGATCTGGTCACCGCTCCACCAGATCTGGACCCCTATTGGCCTCTGCAGACCGACGCCTCGAGCACCTCTACGGCCTCCCTGATATCGATGACTGCCGATTGGAGGCGAGTGGCGGCAAAACTGCTCCGCATGCTCTACACGCCGCGATGGTTGAAATGGCAGAATGCGCTGTACTCGCAACGGATACAAGTTAAAAAAAACCGATGTACACAAAAGTGCGCTAAAACTTGCAAACGGTGTGCAGGTTTTAAGTCTCTAAAATTGCGCAAGTACACTTGTGTGTAATGGCAAATGAAAACAGCATGAATTTCCGACTTTGGTTTTTGTTGGAAATATCTCAAAGGACTTAAGCGTTTCTGAAGTGTAACACTGCACTCGAGGAAGACTACAGGGGAGCACGCGAATCAACGGAGGTTACATGAGGGGACGGACAAAGAATGCGAAAAGACTCGAAAGGTCGCAACTGGAGGTTGCGACTGACCGTTACAACATCACGGATGGTAATCGAAGCGGCAATCGAGTCGCTGTGCGACTCGATAAACCGTTCCTGTAACTACACTCTACAACTGCTTTCTTATCTTCTATATATTGCTGTATGCTTGTTTCTTTAATCAATCACTTGTTCTCATATACTAGTACAAGGGTTCAACTGCCTCAACTTCCGCTGCACTACTCAAGTCTCATTCTTCAACTGGGACTTAGTCTCTGAAAAGATCCTAAGGGCTTTTCTCAGCCCAACATGGTATGAGAGCAGGTCAGAGACCAAACTCCCAACAACTACGCTCCATCAACTTCCTGATTCAACGCCTTCATTGATTACAAGACATGGACAACAAGGGCAAGAAAGTCTCTACGGGCTCACCCAGCGGCCAAGAAACTCAACACGGCAACTCTGGTCTGCACACCTCAGGACTGCAAACAGAGACCGGGACTGCTCAAGAAACAACGGGAAGAGTACCAGAGATGGTGACCCCATCTCCCTCTTCAAGCGTGGACCCCAACCTTATGGAAAGGTTCTTCAGCTTCATGTCGCACTTCGACCAGCAGCAGCAGACAAGGACACCTGCGCATTCAACACAAAGCAATGGAGGAAACATGGGATTAGCGCCGATGAGCCTCGACAACTCATCGTTTGGGCGACACAATCAAGCGCCTACCTTTGCGCCTTATCACTCTTCACCGGGGACGTTCGAGTTTATGCCGCCCTGTGCCCAACCAACAGCAGCTGCATCACAACAAACACCAAACGAAATCTTAAGTCTCCAGGCGCAGTTCTCGCACGTGATAAAACTGCAGACATCCTCACCGTTCAACGGACACGACTTCTTTACCTGGAGCTTCGAGTTCGAGCTGCTGATGGAGGCCGCGCATCTTCTGGGATACTTCAACGGATCCCTGCCATTCCCAAGCAACGGCACTGGAAAGGAACAAGAAATCTTCACGTATCAGTCGCTGCTGGCGTATACGGTTCTCCTGAGAAACCTGTCACCACAAGAGCAGCAGAGCATCAGAACATACAGGAGCTATGGAAACTCCGCGGAGCTCGCATGGCACCATCTCAAGTGCCTTTACCAAGCAAACGACAGCGTGACACAAAGCAGACTCATGCAACAACTGACAACAATACAGATGAAGACCGGGGAAAAGGCGATGCAGTATATGAGTCGCTGCCAGACCCTCCGCGACTGCTTGCTTCGGTGCGGAGGAACAATCACTGAAGAAAGCTTCGTAACACTTGTCCTCGTCGGGCTCGGGCCAGAATGGAGAACCACACGATCGCTTCTTCGCGCCCACGGAAGGATTTCGGAGATGCACCTCTGCGCCGAGCTTCACGCTGAACAACAGGAGATGGACCTGTTCGAAGAAAGACAACCAAGAAAGCAACAGCAGTTAGTCTTCTACACTCAACGAAGAAACGACAACACCTACAATCGACGCGGCAAGCAAGAACGCGACAACAGGGGACTTACCTTCGTGCCGCCGTTCTGCCACAACTGCCAGACTTCCGGGCACTCCAAGGTCAACTGCAACCGCCCTCGCGTTTACCGTCCAGCAGACCCACAAGTCGCTTCCACTCAAGCAAGTCCCCCAAGGCGCTCTTCAACATCTGCACAACAAACACCAAACATTATCAATTGCATGGTACACATCGACAACTGCGCACCCGGATCACCACCCACCTACGCGCCAGACGAAGAAGAGCTGCCGCCACTGCGCTCACAAGGCCTTCAAGTCAATCCAACATATGCTGCGGTCGCCAACGCCGAACCCACCGGGCGAAACACCTGGTTCTTGGACAGCTGCTGCGGTCAACACATGTGCTCCTCGGGACGCTTCGTGCAACAGGAGAAACGCCTCAACCGCGACGTCGTCATCACCGTCGCCAACAACGAAAACCTAAAGACAAACAGACAAGGCGTGGTTCAGTTACAATCCATGGAGACAAACGTCATACTTCAGCTCAACAAAGTGCTCATTGTCGACAATCTGGGATACAACCTACTAAGCGTAAGCCAACTAATGGCCAAGGGGATTCACCTGGAGTGCGACTCCTACTCCAACGAGTTTCGGCTTTACCACGGGAAGGGCGGCCTCTTCATCGGTCGTGCCCTCCTGAAGTCCGGCGTCTTCGTGTTGGACTTCGTCCCCGACCGCGGTACTGCCGACAGCGACGGTATCGTATCGTTCGCCGCCTGGACTCACCCGCCGGATCTTGATCCCGACTTCGACAGTGACGGCTTCTGGCACTCCAACACCATACCTGCAGCAGAGAGAACACGAGCATTAGCAGTTATCAGACAAGAAAGACAAGTACCCGCAAGTATCCCAACCAAACCATCACCTGCAGTATCGGCAGCAGGACCCAGCCGAGTCCCACCACCAGCGACCCGAGGACCGCCAACCGAAGCAGACCAGCTTATGCCCATCACACGAGAAGTTTGTCGAAGTCCCGCCTCAGTCGTCGCGTTCTTCTCCAACGCCGACATCTACCACCGCTCGCCCGGTCATCGCGCTTCCGACGACATCTGGCACCAACGTCTCGGACATCCTGCAAACAGCACGATACTACAAACAATCCAAGCAGAAGTGTTAGAACGCAACGCCCTTCTAACGACGAGCGGCCAAGAACTACGACGACCACGAGCACGGTGCTTCACGTGCCCCGAAGCAGATCTTCCTCATCAACCTTTCCCATCTCATCACAACCCAAGCGCACCTACTTACGCTCCGATGGAAAAGGTCTACAGCGACATTTTAAACATGCCTCGAGAAGACACCGAAGCCGACTTCAACTACGTCATCACGTTCATCGACGCAGCAACCAGATACGTTTGGCACTTCAATCTCAAAACGCGCGATCAAGCCTTCGAGGCCTTCACCACATGGCTTCCCATCGCCGAACGAGAATCAGGAACCAAGCTCAAGAGCTTCCAGTCAGACGGTGCACTGGAATACCAGTCACAACGCTTCAGGACCTATCTGGCGGAAAGAGGAATTCGACGCCTGGTGTCTCTGCCCTATGCTCACCAACAGCAGGGGGTAGCAGAACGCATGAATCGGACCTTGCAGACGACGATGCGAAAACTGCTTCTGGGGATGAGGCTGCCCACCACACTATGGCCAGACGCGATGACACATGCAGTTCACCTGCACAACCTGTTATCCTCGTCATCACTTCCCAACAACGCATCACCGCACCTGTTGTGGACAAGAAAAAGGGGCAGCACAAAATTACTCCGAGTTTTCGGCTGCATGGTACAGTACAGACCCCACACAGCCCGAGCAGGATGCTTCACACAACGAGCTCGGTGGGGACTACACCTTGGCATCGCCAAACATTTTCACGCGTGGAAAATTCTCGACATACAAGACAAAAATACGGTGGCATCACGTGATGTTATCTTCTACGAGCGACTGACGCTGCAGCATTACCTGGACAACATCGCCAACACACAAGACCCCACCGACGGCTTCTCGGGACTTCGTTCCTTTGCCGATCGTGCTGCCGAAGCTGACGCGGCAGAAGAAGACGTACCTGGAGCCTCGGAAACTGCTGGACCACTCCCATTCTGTTCCGTATCTGTTCCACTCGACGACGACAATCCTCTCGATAGTAACAACCTCGACACCTTCTACCACTTCGCTGACCAAGGTTACATTACACCCCACCCAGTTGACACAAATGTCTCAGAACGCATCGGCCCAAACTTCTCACCTGACCCAGAAGACGGTGACGAAGCAACTTATTCCGGGAATGAAAATTCCCCTCGACACACACCCACGGGACTGCAGATTCTAGGCCTCTGGGTCTCCGTCCAGCATCCGCCGCCGCCTTCTCCGCGTGAGCCCTCGACCTTGTCGCAGGCTCTGGGGGGGGAACATAAGGCAAAATGGAAAGAAGCGATGGAAAAGGAGTTAAAGGCTCTGCAAGACCGAGAAACATGGAAACTGGTACCTGCAACAAGCATCAACGGGAAGAACGTCCTCTCGGGGAAATGGGTGTACCGCATCAAGACCAACTCAGACGGCTCCATCGAACGATTCAAAGCTCGATGGGTCGTACGAGGCTTCGATCAACGATACGGAACTGACTACACAGAAACCTTCGCTCCAGTCTCCCGTCACACCTCATTACGCATCCTACTCGCCGTCGCGGCCACGAAGACACTACCACTACGCCAAATCGACGTCGCCAATGCGTTCCTATACGCATCTGTGGACGCTGAGATTTTCGTCGAACAACCCCACGGATTCATCGACGACCCCACGAAAGTATGCCGACTGACAAAATCCCTATACGGGATCAAGCAAGCCCCGCGGCTCTGGCAGCAACACCTTCACGGCCGTCTCGCAAAAATCGGATTCCTACAACTGCCGCATGACCAAGGGATGTACCGACTGCAGAAGGGAAGAGAGTATGTCCTACTCATCGTCTACGTCGACGACCTGCTCTACATCGGCTCCACTACCGACATCGCCACCTGGTTCGAAGGGGAGTTGAAAGAAGACTTAACACTTACGGTGTCCGACGAAGTTACTCAGTACCTAGGACTGAATGTCGTCGAAGACGACACGGCGTTCCACCTACACGCTGGAAAGTACTCAGGCACCGTCGCGAAGAAATTCGGTCTAACACCGACTTCGGTCCCAACTCCCTACCGCTACGGGAACAACAACAGCGCCTCCGCAAAACTCCCCGCGAAACAAATCCAGGAGTATCAACAGAAGCTCGGCTGCCTACTATTCGCAGCAGTAACCTGCCGACCCGACCTGTCCTATAGTGCGAGTCAATTGGCGACGCATCTGAAGCAGCCGGAACAGGAAGATCTCGAAGAGCTCAATCGGGCGCTACTCTACTTCGTCTCCACGCCGACGATCGGGCTCACCTACAGCAAGGCAACAACACCGTCCGTACAACTACTCGGATACGTCGACGCCGACCACGCGGGAGACAGGGAAAATCGACGATCTAGGACGGGCTACATCTACCGACTAGAACCTATCGGAACTATCTCCTGGCAGTCGAGCAAGCAGGACTTAATCGCACTATCCTCGGCTGAAGCAGAATATATCGCCCTCTGCACTGCGACCAAGGAAGGACTCTACCTACGAGAGTTACTCGAGGAAGCGAAGATTGCGACCCTGCCCGCCTTCTCACTCCTCTGCGACAACCAATCTGCGATCAAAATCGCGAACAAGGACGGCTTCGCCAACCGAACTAAGCACATCGCCCTGCGGTACTTCTTCGTCAAGGATGAAATCGCGAAGGGGAGACTTCAACTCAGTTACTGCCCGACGACAGAAATGGCCGCAGATTATCTGACGAAGAAATTGGCGAAAGCAAAATTCGACTACTGCATGCTCCTGACCGGGCAAACAAACGTCACCGGACCCGAACACGTCAACACTCCAGAAACGAAGGGGAGTGTTGGAAATATCTCAAAGGACTTAAGCGTTTCTGAAGTGTAACACTGCACTCGAGGAAGACTACAGGGGAGCACGCGAGTCAACGGAGGTTACATGAGGGGACGGACAAAGAATGCGAAAAGACTCGAAAGGTCGCAACTGGAGGTTGCGACTGACCGTTACAACATCACGGATGGTAATCGAAGCGGCAATCGAGTCGCTGTGCGACTCGATAAACCGTTCCTGTAACTGCACTCTACAACTGCTTTCTTATCTTCTATATATTGCTGTATGCTTGTTTCTTTAATCAATCACTTGTTCTCATATACTAGTACAAGGGTTCAACTGCCTCAACTTCCGCTGCACTACTCAAGTCTCATTCTTCAACTGGGACTTAGTCTCTGAAAAGATCCTAAGGGCTTTTCTCAGCCCAACAGTTTTAATAGCGCACGACGCCAAAATCGTCGCAACCGTCTGTGCGACGTGCGACGTGCACCGTGCGACCCCGTACCGTCCACGAACCCCACGACCGGGTTACGCTGGCGAAGACTCGCGACTGGCCAGCTACACCCGTCGCCAACCCCAAACTTTTGACAGCCTCGGTTTGTGTGGGTTGGGACGGGCAGCGTGAATTTTGGAGGGGGGGAATTTTGGGGCGGTTGGCTCTGTCGTGACTTGGCGCGGGCTTCCGCTGATGTTCCGCCGGGTCTAGCCCTGCTAGACGAGAGGCCCTAGACGGGCCCAAAATGCTTGGCAATTCGGCTAGACCTGCACCGAGAGCAAGACCTGTTCCCTGCACCACCTACTCTCACATTTACACACCAGCGTCCGTTTCTCCAGTTATAGCAATATACGCCTTACAAATTAAAACCTTGGATAAGGGAAAACCATTTCCTTAGAGCGTATTCATAGGGAACAATATTTAGTACCAGCAAACCCAAATTCGAGTATGAAACGCGAAGCAGCGAGGTCCGAATGCCAGGACGCGAATTCCTGTGCGGTTCGATTCGGTACTTCGCGAAATTGGTTTCCTGGTACTGAACACTCAAAAGTAGGAATACGCTCTTACAATATGATATAACCTCTTTCACAAAACCTGGACTGGGCTGGGCTGGGAATATCCTTCCTGCATAGGCTTCTGCAAAACCCCTCAAAACCTCGTCCGTCGATCTTCTCCCATTCGCACGCCATTTTTCGGGCGTGGTATGAGAATTCACGTTGGTCAACGTGGACTTTGCAGGAATTCTAGGGGTTTGCCACAGACACATCTGCAACTGCACGCGGCTTAAAGCGAGGGTCTCAAGAAGCAGAAAACCAAATCCAAAGGTTTTGGTTTTGGTCACAGGCGAAATGGGCGAGTGGATCCAAGAACCCTCGAACAAACAGCGAAAAAAAATCCGCCCCTGCGAGAATGTTCAGTACTTCGCCTGGATCTTGCGACGGTTGGAACGCCTTGCTGGCTACAGAGATGGGACACAACATGGTGGGGCGTGTTCATAACAACTCGTGGCACAAAAAAGCTCGACAAAAAATTGGAAAGACGACGAGTCATTGTGGATAAAATGACTCAGCGACGTGGGTAAGGTTCAAAACTGCGTGACAGAACCGGGAAAATAAACATGCCTTCGTGATACGTTCAAGAAAACCAACGGTTTCAGCACTAGGCGTGACGACAGGAAACAAGGGTCTGTGCGACAAATTCACAAACTCCTAACTCAGACTGCCAACTGCAGACCCTAGAGAGTGCACCACTTCTCCCGAGAGCGCAACTACCTATCAGGAACGAACGCATGCTGAATCATCTGCCTCCAGTGTAGAGAGACCCGCATCTAGCTAGACACAATGCCCTAATAACCGTAGCACGCACCGCGCGACACTCGCTCAAAGCAGAAACGCCCCCAACGGGGCTCGTCCTAGCCAAAGAAAGAATTCATCGTCTCCAGATAGACGCGGCTAGAAGAAACCAAGGAAAAGCCAAAAGGGCCCGCGCAGGGAGAGGCCACGTCGAGGTGGGAGGGCGTTGCGCCGAGGGCACAATCCCGCAGTTCGCAAGGGGACAGACCCCCACTCACCAATGGCCACTATCGCAGGTAAAGGGGGGGCACTAAATGGGCGCGTAGGATGCATGGCGCATGAATGGCGCGACGAGCAAAACGAGGGAAATGCAACAAGCCAGGACCAGCGACCCGAGCGGAGGTGACAGGTGAAACCGTGGGGAGAGATTAGGACTGACGATCGAAGCGTGATAGAGGGAAACGGCATGCAGAAAATATGACAGAAAAGTAGGCGACATAGGGCAATGCGGGATGAGCAGCACGGGCGCGGAAAAGCGGGGGAGAACGAGCAGGCCTGGAGTTGGTGGAGAGTGGGAAGGGAGTGAGCAAAAGCCCTAGGAAAGGCGCAGGCTGCCAGGTGCACGCATCGTGGCGAAAAGGCCGCGACAAAGAGAGAGAGAGAGAGGGAGAGGGAGGGAGAGGGAGAGGCCGCATCTCTCTCTCTCTCTCTCTAACTCTCTCTCTCTCTCTCTCTCTCTCTCTCTCTCTCTCTCTCTCTCTCTCTCTCTCTCTCTCTCTCCCCCTCCAGCAGTGGGTAGGGGAGGTGGACGGTGGAGCAGGCTGGTGACAGCATTTGCAGCAGCAGCAGAGGCAGAAGCGGCGGTGGGGAGGGGAGCCGTGTTGTGAAGCAGCAAGGAGGCAGCCGCAGCAGGACCAAGGAATGGCGAGCCTTGGATCAGTGGCAAACCATCGTGGGTAAAAAGAGGGAGAGGACTGTGCAGCAGCGCCGCAGTACCAGCAGCCGCGGAGGAGGGCAGTGTTGGCCGGCCATGAGGCCGAGCGGAGGCAAGGCTGGTGACATCAGAGCTCTGCTGTCCACGCCTCGAAGCCGTGGCTGCAGCTGCCACAGGAATCGACGGCGACTGGCTGGCCCTTAAGCGCCCCGAAGCGTACGCCACAGGTGAGGGAAACGCACCCGCGGTCGGCACCACAGGAGCCATCTGCAAGCGTCTCGGAGGCAGAGGCGGCGCGTGGCCACTGCCGTCGTCCGTGACAGTGTCGACGTCGGTCGGACTTGCCCTCGCGATGACCTCATTGAGGCTCCAAAACTCTCAGCTGCCTGCACAAGTGCAAAGAGGATGGGTGAGATCACGGTTCGAAAATGAATCATTGACAAAGCACCGAAAGAACACATACATGTAGAGCACGCATACCATGATGAGGTGCTCACCTTCAGGAGCGTCCATGGAGGCGTCTCGCCCAGCCGAGGCATGCCCACCATTCTTGCCAGCAGAAGAGTTGGCTCCGGCACGGCCTCCTCGACGGCCCCTCGCCGTTGAGGAGGCTCCCGCGAACCCACCTTGCGAGTTAGACATAGGCCATGACTCGAGGTTTCTAGTGTGAAGAATGGTAACCTAACTAAGATCATAGCTGGTGAACGTAGCGCCATGCACCGCTGGGTTTATATGACCTAAGTATTAGGGTCCGCTGTGAGGGTGGCGCAAAAGTGTGTCAAACGTACAGACTAGCCTCGGCTGGAGTGTGCCGAGCGTACAGTCTAGCCTCGGCTATCGAGCGTGCAGCGTCCCTATGCATGGTTTAGAAACTCAGGGGGAAGCGTATCACGCAGTGCCGTAGTGTGTCATACCGCGCGTACAAGCAGGGAGCCGTGCAGCATGTCGCTGCGGGTGGTAGCGCAGCGTGACGCCAAGGGAAGTCGCGCGGCGTTACGATGCGGGAAGTCGTGCAGCGTGTCGCTGCGGGTAGTAGCTCAGCGTGAATCCAAGGGAACTCGCGCGGTGTGACGCTGCCGGAAGTCGCGAGGTGTGACGCTGCGGGGAGGTTTGCAGCGAGTCGCCGCGGGAAGGTGTCTAACGTGTCTCTGCGTGGAGATGTGCAGCAAGTCGCTGCGGGGAGGCGTGCTGCGTGTCGCGTAATGAGCGCGCGTAAACTTGCTAGGCGTGGATGGCGATGGGAACGTGTAGTTGCTAGGGTATGGCTGTTAGTGACGTCGATCCTGTCCAAGTCATGGAAGCCTTGATCCAGGAGACAAGAGCCGTGCGTGACAGAGATGGGCGTGAGGTGGTTGGGGTGGGATAACAGGTGCGCGTTCAATATCGAAACCAGGTCACGTGACTATTGCGGGAAGAATCGACAGCAAAGCACATCGACCAGCCACATCTATCCGCTCCAAGTATGCTGGGCACATTACTGGTTGTAGATTGGATGGTGTAGCTGATCTTACGATACAGAACGCATCCTGTTTTTTATGATTTCATACTCGCGTGGCCTAAGTTCGATGTTAAGCACCCATCGCACTGGGTCAGTTGGATGGGTGCGATCGAAAGTCAGGGGTACACGCGATTCACCCTAACTCACCTTGGGATAATCGACGTACCCATTACAAGCGTGAGCACAACCAGCGTAACAACCTCTGGGCGGAAATTTATCATGTACGGGCTAAGCAATCTGCATATACAGGCCATATTCCCGAAGTGCAAATTCCAAGACCGTTGGAATAAGGCACTCATCCAAGAGTGCAGGCAGAATAGCCCAACATAGGTGGGAAAGGGTAGCATTGCCACAACTGGCGGTGCCCATCACGCGACGTGGGAGCCGCCAAGGGTCATCCATTCCCCGTAGTCAGGAAAGCCGGTCATCGCGCCAGGGGCGCGGATCACTTGCTCGCGGTAGGCCTCGTCGCCGAGCACCTGGGTGGTGGCTGTGTCAAGTGCGTTGGTGCGTGCAGACCATTGGGTCTCAGATGTTGAACAATACGCGCAAGTCGCGCGGAGCCAGTGACAAGTTCCGTGCGTACACGATCAGCATTTCTTTGGCCATGTGGGCCATACCGCGATGGGCCCACATAGTGACATTGGGAGCTGGGGGTGGGGGCGTATTGGACCACCACGCGTCTTGCTCAGGCGGCGTCTCAGGTTCCTCGCCACCAGGGTCGCATGTCTCCTCGTGATGGTCGACGTAGACAAACCCAACCGCGCTATCGATGTCGCCGGGGGGACCGAACTGCAGGACAAACATTGTGCGCTGCACATCCCCGAACTCCTCATCCAGCAGGTGGACCGTCTCGGACAATGGGTCACCGAGCTGGTCAAGCAGCGGCTTCCAAATCGGCGGTGACTTTTTGTTGCGCCGTAAGCATTTTGGATGGTGCTTGTGTCCACCCCAATCGTCGCTTCCAAGATGTATTCAACGACGCGCGTCATGTCTCTACGGAACTTCACCAGCTCGTCAATGGTCATGCCCGGCTTCGACCACTCGATGAGACAGCGGCGCAGCAGCGAGGTTTTATACTCCGCTTTCGGAGCCGCCACTCAACCATGACGACAATCTGACAGCCCTCCGCCATGCATCAAGTGTTCACGGATTCAAAGTACCCGGTGAACAACTGGTG